GTGTTGCCTACAAGCTTCATTGGAGGCCTCCATGACATGCGACAACGATTTCTTGATGCCATGACTTTAGATCATAGTGATGGGAAGCCTGGAATATTCCTAACAATGACATGCAATCAAAACTGGCCAGAAATAAAAAATAAGTTACTCCCTTGGCAGACAGCTCAAGATCGAACGAACCTTGTGTCAAGAGTTTTTCGTGCTAAGTTAGAGGATCTTAAGGAACAACTCTTCATGAAGCGCATCCTTGGTGTGGTGGGCGCACACGTTTATGTCATTGAGTTTCAAAAATTCGTTTTCCACATGCACATTTCCTCTTGATAACGATGTCTCCACACAAGCTTACTAATGCAGACCAGTATGATTAAATAGTATGTGCTGAAATTCCAAACCCAAAAAGGCATCCTAAAATGCACGAACTGGTTGTCTCATACATGATACATGGTCCTTATGCTAGCTTAAATTCTGATTGTCCTTGTATGAATAATGCACAAAAGAAATGTCATTTTCGATACCCTCGACAATTCAATGAAACCACATTACAAGGAAAGGACGCATATCCTGTGTACCAAAGGAGGGATAATGGTATAGAGTGGACATACGAGGCCATAAGATGAATATAGATAGGTGGTCTCGTATAACCCAAATTTGTTAATGATGTTGAATTGTCATATGAACGTTGAGGTTTGTTCGAGTATAAACTCTGTGAAATATGTGTTTAAGTATATTTTACAAAGGTCACAACAAACAAGTTATCAATATTGATCCGGATGGACAACATGTTGTTATCAATGAGTTAAACGGCTTCAAGATGCACGATATATCTCACCTCCCGAGGCAATATGGATGATTTTTAGCTTCCCTCTTTCTCAGATATACCCTTGTGTGATGGCTTTACAGGTGCATCTCCCAGGTCAACAGATGGTTAGGTTCTGTGAGGATGATATGTTGACTAACGCTACTGAAAAGGAAAAGAGATAAGAGATCAATGTTGACTGCATTTTTTGTAAAAAATAAAGAAGATATCAATGCGAGAGAATATAAATATAGAGATTTTCCGAAAAAAATTATGTGGGGTCCGAAGTTACGTTGTTAGAATCGTCGACAACAAGGACTAATGCGAGGTTGTTTGGTTTTTGCTAATCCCGCTGAAGGGGAGCGATACAACATTCGACTCCTTTGATCGCATATTAGTGGCCTGACATGTTTTGAAGATCTCTACACAGTCAACAACATAAAACACCCAACATTTCAGAAAGCAACTCTTGAAAGAGGGTTAATAGAGTCCGATGATTGTTAATCACAATGTCTTACAGAGGCATCTTTCTTTCAATTTCCCACTGCTCTTAGAAGGTTGCTTGCATCGATTTTGGTTTTTTGTGAGCTAGGAGACGTTCATAATTTATGGAATGACGACTATAATGTGCTTTCAGAAGATTATAGGCGACAATACGGAAGTATCAAGAGAGTCCAGAATATGGTCCTCACCGACATCATGGTATTCCTACAACCTATGGGTGATGATATTAATGAATTTGATATTCCAAAGATAGATCAAAATGTCGATTTAGAATTTGGAGTTTTTTATGAGGTACAAGAAGAATGTTCTATAGTTATGTAATCTGAACATTTAATTGTCCGAGATTTTCTCAATCCTAAACAGAAATTTGCATATGATGAGATCATGCGGCATGTTGATAATGATATTCTAGGAGTGTTCTTCATAGACGGTCCTGGAGGAACTGGAAAGACATTTTTATACAAAGCTTTACTTGTTAATATCCATTCGTGTGGTCATATTGCACTCGCCACCGCTTCAGCGGGTGTTGTGGCTAATAACATGTCAGGGGGAGAACAGCTCACTCTCGCTTTAAAATTCTCATCAATCTTGAAAATAATTCGGTCTGCAGGATTTCAAGACAAAGTGGCACTGCTTAACTGCTTCGGACTGCAAAGGTAATTATTTGGGATGAAGTTTCGATGGCTAAAAGATATGCATTAGAGGCTCTTGACCATACAATGAAAGATATCACTGGGGTGATGCTACAATTTGGTGGAAAGATAATGGTTTTGGGAGGTGATTTTAGACAAGTGTTGCCGGTCGTTAGACGTGGAACACGAGCATAGACGGTTAATGCTTGTATATGAATGTCACCTCTTTGGTCTTCGATTGTCAAGTTGCATTTAACTATAAATATGAGAGCAATAACGGATCCATGGTTCTCATACTTTTTGTTACGTGTCAGTGATGGAGTTGAAGAAACGGTGCACAAAAACTTTATTCGCATCCCTGATGATATGGTGATTCCCTTTAATGAAAAAGAAAATTCATTGAATTCTTTGATTGATGCAATATTTCCGTCCTTGGAAATTAATTGATATGCATTTGATTATATTATTTCGCGTGGAATACTATCCACAAGAAATGATAGTGTCGATGAGATTAATGATTATTTGATCGGTTGATTCCATGAAGAAGGGATCATTTTTTATAGCTTTGATGAAGCCATAGATGATATAAATAACTTCTATCCTGTGGAATTCTTGAACACTCTCAGTGTTAGTGGTTTTCCCCTCATTACCTAAAACTGGAAGTTAGATGCTCGGTAATACTGTTATAAAATCTCGATCCATCAAATGGAATGTGTAACGACACCCGATTGATATGTAAAAGTTTTTAGCACAATGTCATTGATGCTGAAATAGCTGTTGGTCAACATGCTAGGAAGAGAGTATTTTTCCAAGGATTACTCTAAGTCTACCTGAAGATGACATGTTCACGTTCAAGCTGAAGAGAAAACAATTTACAATTCGATTATGTTTCGCGATGACGATCAACAAAGCTCAGCGACAAACAATTTCAAATGTAGGTATTTATCTATCGGAATCGGTTTTCTCGCATGACCAACTTTATGTAGCATTATCTATAGGGATATCATGTTCCAAAACAAAGGTTTTAGAGAAGCTTGACGAACAATTCAACGACAGTGAAGTCTATACATCAAATGTGGTATATAAAGAAGTGTTGCACGATTAATAGTGCACAATCAGTCATCTATTTGTGTGCATCAATAAAAAGTCCTAACTTTTTCATTTTTAGTTCTTACGGATTTTGTTTATGCTAGCATGACTCTCATTGATAATTGTTTAGACATAGTAAACTATTTGCACAAAAGAACTAATCACCGTCTCTATAAACTAATTTCTGAAAATATTATTTGCACCCAGCGCTTGGCGCGGGTAAATGGCTAGTATGTATATATATATATATATATATATATATATATATATATATATATATATATATATATATATATGTATATATATATACACACCATCTCATAATTTGGTACTGCCACTATTCCACCTCATATATATATATATATATATATATATATATATATATATATATATATATATATATATATACCATCTCATAATTTGGTACTACCACTATTCCACCTCACACATACACAGGGGCGCACCTTTTATGGGGCCAAGAGGGGTTGTGGCCCCCTGAATTTTGGGCTAGAAGTAGGATATATATGTTCAATTTTCGAAATTATAAGCCCAGCAATGTGAGTTTTGGGCTGTGGCCCCTCCTGATTAGTTGATCCAATGTTTTGTTGCCAAGAAGCTGATCCAAGATTCCAAGAGAGAGACGATCGTCAATCAGCTTCCGCCTTCTGCCCCAATCTCCCAGGCCCCATCCTCAATCTTCGTTCAATCGCAAGTCAACTCCGCCAAATCAAATCCGTTCGTCGTCACTCACCTGCTCCTCGCGACGTGACGACGTCGCCTGTTGGGTGTTGCGCCACTGCGAACTGCGGTGCTGCTACGGTGCTACCTAACACCTGCTGCTCTTTGTCGCCAATCCCTAATTCCCAATTCCCCATCCTCAGGTATGCTTTCAGCTTTGAGCAATCGAGCTTTCAAGTTTCAATTCGGATGTTGTTCAGCATGTTCTTCAGTTCTTGACTTCTTTCCTGTTAGAATTTTAGGAATCAAACTAATTTTAGGAGCCTATTTTATGAACTGATATGAACTGATATGTCTAGAATGAACTATTTTGTTGCTTTTCTTTTATATTTGATTGTTGTTGGAGTTTTAGGAATCAACGAATTACACATTGCTTATTTTCTTATGAATTGTTTTTTGATTTTGATTTTTATAGATACAATCTTGTGAAATATGAAAACCATTCATTCTATCTTCAAAAGAAAGGTTGATAATGAAGAAATTCATGATAGAAATGAAGAGATTAAACAGCACAAAGCTTCAACAAGTGAACCACAACCATAAGAACATGAAAATCAACAAGAGAATGATAGGAATGAAGCCACACAATCAAATCCTAATGAGGTGGTCCAAGCGGATCTTAAGCAACTAGAAAGAGATCCCGTTAAAAGAAAACAAATATGGGAATATCCGGTTAACTTAAGGGAAGAAGTAAGATGAGCCTATATGAGCTTAGGACCTTTCCAAATACGTCTTAAAGAATATCATGCTAAAGGTTCAAAGAAACATCCTCGTAGATTTCAATGTTCTTGGTTCAACATTTTCCCTAATTGGTTAGAATATTCTCCAACAACACATGCATCCTATCGTTTTATTTGTTTTATATTTAACGATAAACCAAGTGTGTCCCATGGTTATGATGCATTTACTATTAAAGGATTTGACAATTGGAAGAAAGTTAATGATGAGAAAAATTGTGCATTCTTGAAGCACATTGGTTGTTCACAACATAGAAATGTTGTTGCATTCGCTGAAAATTTGATGAACCAAGAAGCACAGATTGAAAATATCATAATGAAGCAAAATGAAGAGCAAATATTGAAGAATCGTTTACGATTAAAAGCTTTGATTGACACAATTTGTTGGTTGACATTCCAAGCATGTGCTTTAAGAGGACATGATGAATCTCCTAATTCCAAAAATCGTGGCAATTTTTTGCAACTACTAAAACTTCTAGCATCTTATAATGATGAAGTTGCAAATGTTACATTAAAGAAAGCTCCTTATAATTCAAAATATACTTCTGGATAAATTTAAAAAGAAATTCTTAGTATTATTGCAAATAAAGTTAGAAAGCATATTCGTAGTGAAGTGGGTGATTCATATTTTTGTGTCATGGTTGATGAGTCACGTGATGAGTCTAAAAAAGAGCAAATGGCGATAGTTTTGAGATTTGTTGATGTTGAAGGGATCATACGGGAAAGGTTCTTGGATTTGGTTCATGTTAGGGATACCTTATCATTAACCCTAAAAACAAATATGTGGAGACAACTTTTGCACTATCAGTTTGATTTTAGTAAACTTTGTGGCCAAGGTTATGATGGTGCTAGTAATATGAGAGGGGAATGGAACGAATTACAGGCACTTGTTCTTAAGGATTGTCCTTATGCATATTATGTTCATTGCTTTGCTCATAGATTACAACTAGCCTTGGTAGCTGCTTTAAGGGAAATTATTCTTGTACACCAATTTTTCACAAACTTAATTTTTTTAATTAATGTAGTTTGTGCTTCTAGTAAGCGTCATGATGAGTTACAAAAGGCGAAGGCAACTGAGATTGAACAATTATTGGAACTAGGTGAAATCGAATCAGGAAAAGGATTGAATCAAGTTGGGACATTAAGAAGAGCTGGTGATACACGTTGGGGTTCTCATTTTCATTATGTTTGTAGTTTGCTTAACATGTTTGATTGTACTCGTGTTGTTCTCCAGGGAATAATTGATGACGTATCTGCTACTTAATCTCAACACGGAGATACAGATGTTGCTTATTGTTTCCTAAAATCATTTGAGTTTGTGTTTATTCTTCACTTGATAAAGGAAATAATGGGGAAAATTGATATACTTTCTCAAGCTCTACAAAAGAAATCTCAAGATATTCTTAATGTCAAGGAGTTAGTTTCAGCAACAAAGGAAAGTCTAAATGAATTCAGAAACAAGGGATAGGGACTCTTTACTTGCACAGGTAAAGTTTTTTTTTTGTGAAAAACATCAAATAGATATGCCGGATATGAATGCTACATATAATTCTACTCGATACCGGCCTCGAAAAACAAATAATCATGTTACTATTGAACATTTTTATCGAGTGGATTTGTTTACAACCAGATTGGACAAACAGTTACATGAGTTGAATAGTAGATTCAATGATCAGGCGATGGAACTATTAAGTCTTAGTTCTACTTTAGTTTCAAAAGAACACCCTAAAGTGATTAAAGTTGATCAAATTTGTCGTCTTGTTGTGAAATATTATCCCGAAGATTTTACGGAGCAAGAGAGAATCCAATTAAGATATCAATTGGAGATTTTTAATATTGATATGACAAAGAATCCCAAGCTTAGTGGTGTATCAACTATTGCTGACTTATGCAAGGGTCTTGTGGAAACTCAGAAACGTGAGACGTATTATTTGCTTGATTGAGTGGCGCGGTTAATCTTGACACTTCCAATTTCTACCGCAACAACAGAGAGGGGATTTTCAGCAATGAAAATATTCATGAACCGTCTTCGCAATACGATGTTGGATGACTTTCTCGCAAACAACTTGGTGGTTTACATAGAAAGATAAATTGCTGAAAACATTTATTCGAAGTCGGTAATTGATGAATTCAAAGACCTTAAAGGTCGTCGGGCTAAGTTATAATAATTTTTTCTCTAGTTATTTTTTGTGTTTATTTGTAAAAACAAATTTGGTTTTTTTTTGTATGTAAGAACGTTAATTTTAATTTATAATACTTTCGGTAAATCGGCCCCCAAAAAAAAAATTGTTCAAGCTCATACACAAAAAATATAAGTCTTAAGCAACTACTCGATATAAACATATTTCATGGCAGCAAGATAAACATATGCTTTTTCTTTATATATATATATATATATATATATATATATATATATATATATATATATATATATATATATATATATATATATATATATATATATATTATATATATATATATATATATAAAGAAAAAGCATATGTTTATCTTGCTGCCATGAAATATGTTTATATCGGGTAGTTGCTTAAGACTTATATTTTTCGTGTATGTGTGAGGTGGAATAGTGGTAGTACCAAATTATGAGATGATATAAATAAGAAGATGGTGACAATACAATCACTTTCCATGTGGAAAGTGGGAAGAAATTAAGAGAAAGATATTGGCAAAGAATCTTGGGAAGATCAAGAAAAGTAGGGATGAGATTGAGGGCAACCTTTTGAAGTGTGAAGAGTTCACATGCCCAAACGCTAAAAAACTACTACTCCCTTTCTTTTCTCTGCATCACTTTCTCCAACAAGTTTTTATTTATTTTTTTTTTTTTATTCCTTTTTAAAAGTTAATATTCCCCTCACAACCCGATACCTTTTTTTTCGTTGCTCTTGCTTATGTTTTTTCTTGTTAATCATGATATTTACAAGGAGTCAAATATTCACCTTATACTTAATTAACCAAAAGTAAGCTTCAATTGTTTTCTAATGCCAAGCAGATTTTTATTGTATAACATACGCTTTCAAGTTTACATCTTTATTTACAGTATGGAGTAACTTGCAAAAATAACCAAATTTCTTAACAGGGTTTTATTTTTTTGTGGACTTAAGGAGTGAAGTTGTTATTGTGTGACAAATTGCTTTAAAGACCATATAAACTGCCAAAATATGCGAAATCATATATGAAAAATCACATATATTTATACATATCGTGTTTGGTACTATAGGGATCCTTGCAGCAGATGCTATAGAGTTTTTTCATAGAATCCAACGAGTCATTCATAATAATCTTATGAACTCAAGATCTATAAATATTGTAAAGAATTAGTATCGTTATTCAAAAAGGATTAACGGCGAGTCTGGTATGTTTTTATAAAACTTTCATTAATTTATAGAAACTAAAACACATTTATTAATGTTTTAACCAAAAGCCAAAGATTTAATTTTTTTTTTCAAAAAAGAATCATCGTAACCACAAATATATAGTGGTTTATGCCAATTTGGCATGTGTTAATATAGATTCCATTAACTATTCTAGAAAATGGGTTGTTGATTCCAAAGCTATTGAGTGGAACTTATATTCGATTAATAAGTAATTTTAATTTTTCTTAACTAAAGGTGCATGTAGACCATGGGGCGTTGAAGGGAGCAAAGTGGACAGCTGCATAAAGTTTAATTTTTTTATTATCTATTTTTATTAAAAAATCAAAACTTATAATAGCAATAAGGGCTATTTTTATTTAGTTCGTTCTGAACCTTTGAAAATATTTAATTCTTCAAGATTCTGAATGGTACCTGCATAAATTTCAACATTTTGAAACTTGATAAGTTCTCTATTAGGGTGCGCTTGGTACAGAGAAATAGAATTGCTGCAGAGAATGCAAATGCAGAGAAAGAGAATTAAACTGGAGAAAGAGAATTGACTCCCCTGTTTGGTAAAACTAAGAATTCACTAGAGAAATGTATCTGAAAATCATTTCTAAATGGAAATGCATTTTTTTTGCCTTGTTTATTTATTTTCAAACAACATTGTTTTTATCAAAATGCATTATGATGTACATCTTTGTTTTCCAAAATAAATATATTGTATGTTTATATTTTTTTTTTATTATAACATCACTTTTTACCAAATAATTTATTTTCTTGTTAATTAATATTATTTTATATATATATCTAATATTGGAAAAAATATTTCTAATATAAATGAATAATTTATAAATAGATTCAAACTGAAGAAATATTATCACACCACATAATGAGCACAATATAAAAAAAAAGAATAATGAAATAACAATAAAATTGTCCAATCATTAAAAATAGTATATACACCACATAATGAATAATGAAGTTTACATAAAAACATGGAATAAATTAATTATTGGCATGCCTTGAACTCCAATGAGTAAACATAGTATTAGCAAGAAGATCTCGACGGTCAGTCCACCCTTGCAAGGTCTCCACGGTAGAAATAATGTTGTCATGTTCGTCTCCAAATTGGGTGTGATTTGTAGGGATTTCTTGATCAAGGGGGTCTTCCGTCATGGTTGTGCGTATGAAGTTATGCATCAAACAACATGCAATGATTATGTATGGCATAGATTCTATTGGATGGTATGCATTATCACGTAAAATAGCCCATCTAGATTTAATCAATCCAAAACATCGTTCTATTACGTTCCTTGCTGATGAATGTCTCATGTTATACAACTCTTTAGCATTTGTGGGAGGTCGAGACCAATCGTTAAGATGGTAACGTTGCTCGCGATAAGGTGTTAAAAAACCTTCACCATTTGTATAACCGGCATCACAAAGATAGTATGTTCCTACAATAGATTCTACATATTTAGTTAGACTGTATTAATAATATTATGTAGCTTTATATTTTATGTATATCATACCATGGGGTATTTTAAGACCATGTGGTCTACTAATAGCATCTCGCAGTACTCGACTATCTGCTGCGGAACCCTCCCATCCAGCTAGTACATATATGAATTGAAGATCTCTCGAACACACTCCAAGTACATTAGTACACAACTCACCTTTGCGTGTTCGATAAGGTTTTCTCTTTGCTGCAGGGACTTTAACTTTGATATATGTTCCATCTAATGCCCCTAGGCAACCCTGTACATAAAACAAATTATTTAATTAATATTGGAGTTAAATAAATTTATAATAACTAATTGCTAACCTTAAACCACCTCCACCTCTCATCGGTTTCATCATCAGGTATTGGCACAGGTTTCTTGTAAAGCTCTTTATGTAATCGACATATCGCATCTAAGACTACCTTGAAATATCGACTTACAGTTTCACCTGACCTTTTGAATCTTTCTACTATAATCCTATTTTTTTCGTTATGTGCAAGTACATGTAAGAACATAGCAACTTGCTCGTCAACTAACATGTTTTTGCTATTTTTCAACCCCCCTCTTTGTTCAAGCATGTCACATAGTCTCGTAAATGCATTTCTATTCATTCTTATGTTAACCACACTTGTTTTATCACTTTTATAAACCATATCATGAATACTTTCACGTCCATTATGGTAACTCATTAAATATTTTTCCCGCAATATTGTAGCCTTTTCTAAATGATTCATTGTAAAGTCATACAACATCCACCAACGTATCATGACATACATTGCATAAAATGCTCTTATGGTGGATGTCCTAACAATTTTTCTATTTCGTACAATCTGTTGTTGCAAAGGTGTTCGTGTCATCTACGTATATACAAACAAGGAAGAGTTAATGACAAAAAAGCTAGAACTATCGAAAGAAAAATCATAACAGCCACTGTTTAGAGCTGCATAACTTAGCAAAAAATAAACCAAATAAGATATCTCTTGAGCCTAAAATGTAGACAAGACAGAGGACTATAATCTGAAAAAAAATCGCTTCATTCCGAGCCAGTACGAAGATTTTAGGATGGCTCAAAGTTGGACAAAAAAGCTAAAAAATTGCTGAAACAGTTTACAAATATCCTAACAGCCCATGTTCGCATCTGCATAACTCACCCAAAACTAAACCGAATAAACTATTTCTTAATCCTAACATGTAGACAAGACAGAGGAGTACAATATGAAAAAAAAATCGTCTCATTCCGAGTTGGTATGAAGATTTTATGATGGTTCAAAGTTGGACAAAAAAGCTAGAAATTGCTGGAGCAGTTTACAAAAATCCTAACAGCCAATGTTTACGGCTGCATAACTCAGCCAAAACTAAACCAAATAAGCTATTTCTTGAGCCTATGATGTAGACAAGACATAGAACTCCAATTTGGAAAAAATATCACCTTATTCCAAGCTTGTATGAAGATTTTATAATGGTTCAAAGTTGAACAAAAAAACTAAAAAATGCTGAAACAATTTACAAAAATCCAAACAGCGATGTTCAGGGCTGCATAACTTCCCCAAAACGAAACCAAATAAGCTATTTATTGAGCCTAAAATGTAGAAAAAATAGAGTACTACAATATGAAAAAAAAATCACCTCATTCCGAGCTGGTATGAGGATTTTATGATGGTGCAAAGTTGGACAAAAAAACTAAAAAATGCTGAAACAGCTTAGAACAATCATAACAGCCCACGTTTAGGGCTACATATCTCAATCATATCTTAATCAAATAAGCTTTTTTTTTAGGATAAAACATAGCCAAGATAGAGGACTACAATCCAGAAAAACAATCTACTCATTCTGAGATCATATGAAGATCTAATGGCTGTTCAAATTGAAGAAAAAAGTAAAAGTATAAAACTGAAATTGTAAAAAAAAACTGCTTTATACAAACAGTTAAGCAGATACAAATAGTTATCGGTCCTCATTCATCATTATCTACAACTATGGCCACAACAATAATTCAAAATTAGCTATAATCGCATATAATATGGTCAAAATTGACCTTCACACAACACAAAACATCAATAATTTAGTTTATAGATTGCATGATTGATCGACATACCTTGAATTAGAAGACAGTGGTGACAAAATCGAAAAACTGGAGCAACCTACAAGTGTGAAATCGTGAGTCTATGATCGCAAAATGTAACGTCTGCGTTTCCGGGCTTGCCATTTTTAGCAATGTAATGGTCTAGGTTAACCTTTGTAACCCGTTTTGAAATAATAAGATTGTATTATTTGAGTATTATGTGTTTTGTGCTTAATTGCTTAATTATATGGTTTGATTAATTAAGAATAAAAATAAGCGTCAAAATTTAAGTGTAAATTAAAAGTGATATCTTTAGATAATGTTGTAGTAGTTGAAACAAGGTTTCCGGAGATATACAGAATGCCGAAATTCGAGTTATCATGAGGAAGTTATGACCTGTCGAAGTTTCGCGACAGAACCGGCAACGCTGATTAACGTAAAAAGTGAAATTTACGTTAGAGCGATATTTAGCCTTAGTAATCTAAACGATAATCGAAGATCTCGTTGTTAGTATCAAAGCGATAAAAAGTTAGGTGAGAACGGACGTCAAACGAAGAAGTTATGAATTTATAACGAAATTTTCTGTCCCGGCCTATTAAAAATAAATAATAAAAATAAAGTCAAAATTAGCCGACGGAGTCTAAACGAAAGTTGTAGAGCGTAGTCTCACCTTTCCGTGGATATAAAGAACGTCGAAAACGGAGTTCGTATGAAGAAGATATGAATTTCCGAAGTTTATTAATTAATTTGTATTTATTTTTAAATCAAAATTCGGAAGCATTATCCGAAGGGAGTCACAGATCTGATCCGAGGTACGCGCCGCGTACTCGAGTACGCCCCGCGTACAACCAAAGTGTCGACACTTCGGATGACGCATGCGCTTACGTTTCTGAGGCACGTACGCCCCGTGTACGAGGAGCTTCCAGCCTCCTATAAATAGGATGCGAGGGTTCCAGGTTTAATTGCTAATTTCCTCTCGTTTTTGTGCCGAAGCTCTGCGTTTTTACCCCGAAGCCATCCCGAAGCCCCGGTAATATTCCCGAGTCCCGAAGCGAGTCCCGAGATCCCGAAGATCCCGAGAAGTGCGGTTTCCGAGCCGAAGCTCTGCCCGCGAGAAGTTCGATTTTCGTAGAGATCTTCCAGATCTGCGGAGGATTACTACTTCTGCAAGCCGTAGTGCTGTCCGATCATCTTCTGATCAAGTGAGTGTATACTACCTTTCATAAACGCAATAATAATACAAGTATGGTTTGAGAGTATTAAGTTTATTGTCGTTTATACGTGTGAATGCGTTGTTACTTTCTCCTAACGTATAACTATAAAGTATTTTATACGAGATACGTGTTATGTGTATATTTTGTTGTTATGTGTGTGAATGTATATTCACTTTCTTCTGTCTTACATATCTGATTATTTCTATATGAAATACGTGTTATGTGTGTGTGCCTCATCTGTTATATGGAAAATGTATTGATCAAGCATGCTATACAGTTTTGAAAATATGTATAAAAATGTATGTTTTTATCTACTAATATGTTGGGTAGAACATGGGTAGATAGTTGGTGTGTAATAAACAGATGAGAGGCCTCGTTGTTGTTTGATCCAGTCATCTAGCGGAATTTAGATGACGACCACGGACTTTTCTAGATAGTCATCTGGAACGCTAGCAGGCTCATAACCTGTAGGTGTTAATGAACTTGGGTGTTCATTCGCTGTATTCCATCCCCCTCATGGTTGCCTTATTTGACTTATATTGCTGAGGAAACCCCGCAGCATGTGTTGTCACCCCGATGAAAATATTCTTAGATTAGGTCCCTTGTGTTAGTTATTTTAGGGACATAAAGTGAGAATAACGGGAATGGGTAACTGGGTTATTGTTGGTTGATAATAATTAATTTAATTATTTATTGTGGGTTGAAAACCCTATATGCTCACCAGGCTCCCAAGCCTGACCCACTCAGTTTTAAATTGTATTACAGGAAGTGGCGGAAGGGCATGAGATGGATGAACCATCAAGTTGATTTGTTTACAAGTCTGCATATGTTTATATTTGTTATATGACTTGTAATGTATTCGTTTATGCTTATTGGTCTGTATCGGAACATGACACCCCGAGTTTTGATTATAATGAAAATACATTTCTTTTATGAAATGCTTCGGTAAACATTGTTTTATCATGTTTTGTTTTGGGAACAAATTCCGCAACTCTTTCAAATCAAAAGGATTTACTCTGAAAATATTTTAAAAGCATAAATGAAAATCGGTCTTTTTTGGCCGAGATTTTGGGGATGTCACAGTTGGTATCAGAGCATTAGTTTAAGCGAACTAGGAATTTTTAGGATTTCTAGACTTAAACTTAGAATGCTAAGTGGAATTTTGAGATGTGTGTCTGTTATGTTTTAGACACGAGCACTAGTTTATTTTAGGAAAGTTGCCTAAAATGCTTTATGTGCTAAATGTTGTATGTTGCCATATATGATATTATTTGTTCGGATCTATGGTCTGTTGCCGACCGGATCTAGAAACTTTATGTGTGTAGGATTCTAAGCGTACGTCTACGACATTAGAACTAGCATGTAAATGTTTCAGAGTGATAAGGATGATTTAAATATCTATCTTGAATGAGGATCTAATTTCACCTTATGCGGTGTATAGATCAAAAATGGTGAGAACAAGAAGTGGAGTTGGAAATGCTGATGAAAACAGGAATCAACCACCAGTGATTGAGCAAAGACCTGTCATAGCAGCAGCACCTGAGCCGATAACAATGGCCGGTGTACAATTGATGATTCAGACGATGTTGGATCGTCAGATGGATGAAACTAGACGTTGCTTCAACAGAATCGTGAAGAACTGTCAATTCGTGTGGAAGAGCCTGAATTAAATGAAGGGCACTCGGAAGGTGGAAACTTTAGTGGGTCTGTTGGTCAAGCCAACCCACCGATAGTTAGACGAGACAACCGTGATGGAAGGAATGATGGAATGGGATGCAAGTACAAGGACTTTCTAACTTGCAAACCATCGACCTTCAATGGAAAGGAGGATCCGATTGGGGTTATGGATTGGATATCCGAAATGGAGCTAGCCTTCATGACGTGTGGCTGCAGAGGTAAGTTGCAAACTATCTATGCCGTGCGTCAATTCCGAGGTGGAGCCGTTCGTTGGTGGAACACTCTAGGGAAACTTTGAGCCCAAATGAGCCACTGCAATTGTCATGGGCAGAGTTCTTGGTGCAGTTTAAGCGCAAGTTCTGCTCGGCTCAAAATCTATTGGAGTTGGAGAACAAGTTCCTGACATTGACTAAGGGCAGCATGTCAGTTGATGAATACACCAATAACTTCACCGATAAGATGGAGTTTACCTTGCGTATCGTTCCAGTCGAGCTGACTAAGGTGGATCGGTATGCGAAGGGACTTCCATGGGAGTATGAGGTGCCAGTACGTCAGGCACATACTTTAGAGGCAGCTATCTGGGCTG